GAATGTGGCCTCCGATGCCTCCTCGAGGGTCGTCGATCATCTTCAAGTTCCCTTAATCTTTCTCCTTGGACGAAGATGAGATAGTTTGTCTGATTAATGGCCGCGAACAGTGCCTGAGTCATGGCATCTGCCCCAGCGGGAACTGGGACTTCATGGAACCGGGCAGCTCTGTAATGAGCGAGAGCTACCGGGTCGTCTTCAAGTGTCGGTGGGGTCGATGAGGATGATGCAGTAGCCCCGTCCCTGTAGGAGGAAGTTCCAGGGGCGGTCGTCACAGGAATGGTACTGTGGACGGGATCACCGGGGTTATCGAGGTGTCCATTCTTGTCCGCGGTGCCGTTATTAGTGTCGGCGACACGGACGTGCTGCTCGTCGCGAGCTGGATCAGCCATGACAGGTAGTTGAATTGAACTTTGGTCTTTAGAGTTGTTCGTTAGACGGGGAAGCTAGTTCCCACAGACGGCGCCACTGATCTGACCTGATCAGAAATGGACCGTCACGGCTGGCTCCGGGCAGAAAGCTTTTTGAACGAAGTGGGGGGAGGGGTACCTGCAAGGCACTCCGATGCTGAAGTAAGTAGGAGTACGAGCAGATAATAGCAAGTGTAAGGTTAGAATGATGAATACCTGACCCTCTGGAAACAGAGGGTATTTATAGCCCCCAGCGCTGGGCCAAGGTTCCTTCATTGGGCCGGGCAGGTTTGGCCCAATGGAGAAACTGCCAGGTTCTACGTGCGTAGTGGGGACCCGCACGTGGTCCCCTTCCTGGATGTTCTGCGTGAAGTGCGGGCGGACGGAGACACGGTCTTTTCGGGGTATCGTTGGGGGAACAGTGGACTGAGTCTGCCCTAGCTGGGGTGCTCGAGGTAATGTCGAGCTGGACCTCAGGATGTGGTGCTGGACCGCAGCATGTCGAGCTGGAGGTGTGCTGTCGAGCCTGCGACTAGCCGTCGGGCACGGTCGTACTCTTTGGTCGGCGTGGCCCTTGTAATTCCATTTGGACTGGGCCTTTGCAATGCTTTTGGGCCTGTCGGGCCCAGTCCAGAACAATAATAATAATAATAATAATAATAATAATAATAATAATAATAATAATAATAATAATAATAATAATAATAATAATAATAATAATAATAATAATAATAATAATAATAATAATAATAGAGCACCTTCCCTTGGGCCAGAGAGTAGTTATTTTGATCTTATTGGGCATTATTATTATCCAAGCCCATGGAATTTGTGAGTCCACCGATGCCAGCGGTTATGATTTTTGTTAGAGTATTAATAGGATTTTCAGTTGAATCAGAATATACAAGTTTGTTTCTGTGACTAAAGAAAATGCATAATCACCTTGAACGAATAAACAACTGTCTACAAGGTATGTATCTCTCTCCTTCTTGTGTTGTTTCTACCTTTTTGATTCATTATTCAGAACATAAACTATCTTTACAAGTTCGTAATCATTAAACGTCGTTCTCAAAACCCTAGCGGCTCTTGATTTTTTATTTATGACATTTTTCTTTCAATTTTGTTTTCAAGTCAATAATCTGCAAAGAATTGCAATTTCATATGGTAATATATGTTTTAAAATAATTATAGACAACATAACCCTGGCTGATGCGCCCATAATTTGTTGCCGCAGTCCGTTTGCTTAATTGAACCCTAGAGGACTTCTTACCCGTCACTTTCTCTTGTCAATCATAGATTGCAAAAGATAGCAGATTGAGGTTCTTTTTACCTTTTAAGTGGAATTGCTTGTCATTGAAATCACATTTTTGAGCGTTGTTCTGATTGAGATTGACGTATTAATGAACAGGTTACTGAACTGTGTTATTGGTACACGCAACATGATGGTTTATTATTTTTGCTGACTTGTATCTCTTTCGACTTGTAGCAATGGATATTGAAGAAGCAGATAATACAGTTTTATCTTCTCCTGTCTCTCTCAATCCCATGGTTTGTCACCAGAATGGAGTTTTTTCTCTTGAAGATCTTGCTTGGGTTGATTCCTGCCTAAATAAGGATTCCGATATTTCAGAAAGTGATTGGACCCCTCTCAGGGATGCTTTGCCCGATATTTCAGAAAGTGATTGGACCCCTCTCAGGGATGCTTTGCCCGATATTGTCAGTTCCCAATCTCAATCATTCAGGGTTGATGCTAGACAAAACAATCAAACTCACCACTACAGAAAGGGGAAAAACATTACTTCACCACATATTCAAGAATCTTCGACTTCTAATGCAAATTGCTTACAAAACGTTGCTAATCAAACAAGCACTGATAAAATTCTAGAGGATGAATTGGCTGGGACGACTTTCCAAGGAGATCCTTTTCTGCCGACTTATAATGAAGACCTAAAGCCAACTTATGAGATGGAACATGCATCTGAGAATATCTTCAAGGCCTGGAATTTGAATTGTGCAAATGATGAGATGGAGGAGGCATCTGAGAATATCTTCAAAGTATGGGATTTGGACATTCCAGTTGAGGAAGGTGAACTCGTTAAACAGTTGAAGAAAGCCCTATCCGTTTTGGATGATTCAGAAAAAGGGAAGGACTTGAAGGAAGGGTCGCATGACAATCTTATTGCTGGCAACGACTTGAATGAAGGGCCACTTGATAATCTTATTGCTGCCATTGCTGACTTGTCTTTAGATAAAAAAGTTTAGCGTTCGATGATTTGTTTTCATTTAGATTCTAGTCTGTTTTCGCTTTATATTTAGTCATGTTATCTGTCATTTGATGTACATGGATTATTACATTACAAAGATGCACAATTAAATTTTTATACCAATATGAGTCCGTTAATTCTAAAGCAAGTACTAATAATAGTTGAGAAATACAAATCAGGCTTTTAAAATATTTTAAGGAGTGAATCATATGTTGAAATTTGTCTTTAGTTCTTGAAAATCTCACATAACATTCTGCAAGTGAGTTCTGTAGTAGAACTTTAAGTAATTACATAGTAAGTATGAAGAGTCACTCGTTGATAGAAATAACAGTTGGTTTGAGATTTAATAGCTCATTTGCACCCAAGAATACCAACCCAAAAGGCAACTGGAGTAGTTGATCCACATACCAATTACAACTTCAACACAAAACAAACATGAATTTTGTGGCGTCTTTTTGACAATATATGTAATATTTTCTTTAAATCAGGAACCTAAACTTTGATTTGATTTAGTTACACGCATATGTCATAATTATCCGAAAATAAGTAGAAATCAAGATGAACAAAATATGATACTCATCATATACTATACTAAAACTTACTATCTATAGTAAATCCCAAAGGAAAGCAATTTTGAAGACTGCACATGATAAGTGCCTATACAATCTGAAATACAACATGTTGATCAAAACAAGAGAAGACACAAAATGAAACAACAAAGAAGAAAGATAGAAACTCTGTTTAAAGACTTGTCTATCTGCATCTCCTGCCTCCTCATTCTAGGACTGGTACTTCCATTGTGAAAGTAAGTAAACAAATTTGCATCAGAGACACCAAAAACCCTTGTCAACACCATATCCCCAAACATACCAATCACAGGATTCACAACACTAGCAGCACCACCATGATAAGGTAAAGCATTGCCACCATAACCTTCATAAAGGTGAGGAATGTAATGCTGATAATGGATCGGCCGCGACTGTGTCTGGAAATAATTCGGATGGAGTTGCTGCTCCCCATGATGCAAATTTGACGGGCGATTAGATGTTAACATAGCATTCAAGTTGTACGGAGGTGGTCGATGAGGTATAACCAAACCCACCTGGAGTTTATTTGAATCGGTTTCTGAATTTGATTTTCCGCGGCCGTAAAGAGGGACTAATGAAGTATGGGAGATGACAGCTTTACAAACAGGGCATGCAGGCTGCTTATCTGGTTCAACCGAAGAGTTTTGGACATTAAGCCATTTATATATGCATGGCCAGCAATAGAGATGACCACAAAGTGTAACCACGGGATCATTTGCTGATTCCAAGCAAATATTACAATCAAAGCAACCATTTTCACCACTAGAGGTTGTTCTCTCTTCTTCTGTAGTAGATTTACATTTTTGCTTTAGTGAGACTTCCACATCAGAACCAAAGCATGTAGATTCCATTGATTTTTCTACTACAGCAATATACCCTGTTATAGATTTTACAAATTTCAGAAAGCTACAATAATTTTAGACAAGTCAGATGCAAAAGTAGATCAGGTATATACAATATTTCTGATGATTCTATTGCAAAAAACTAGTCCTCCCTCGAAATCACATACCGTGCTGATTTCCTAAGATATGAAAACTTTTATGCATACAAGGTCCCCAAAATAATTTATAACATGAAATCTACACCATAGATCAAACAGAAGCAATGACCATATACCAAAGAGAAATAAGGGATAACAACATCTATATATGAAGAGCTTATCTTCAACAACAAAATGGAACCGATGAAAGAAAAAAAGTCAACACATATTTATTTATTTTCACAATGATTCATCGTTAATTCTAGATTTCAAATACAGGCTAATTCAGAGGAACCTTATGAAAATCTAATGCATGCAAACAATTTTATGGAGGAAGATAAAACCCAATAGGTATGTGAAAATTGGAATTTGATCGGAAAATATAGAAGATGAAATAAAATAAGCATACCTTTGGAAATAAGGAAAATAAGATGGCGATAGCTAGCTTGAAAGGAAGAGAAAAGAAAGAAGAAAAAAAACGAGTAGAAAGTTGGGAGACAATTGGATTGAGAAGGAAGCAATGGAGGAGAGTAAATTGTGGATGAAGAAGAAGGAACAAGATTATGTTGTTACAGAAATGAATGAGTGAAAATGGGTTGCTGTCACCGTGTTTATATTTAATTAACTAGGTCTAGGTCGTTAAAAAATAAGTACTGGTATGTTATTTTTAATACTATTGATATTAACATATTTTTAGTTTTATTGTTTATCCTCTCTTAGAGGCAACGAATAACTCGTGCACCTTCTAGAAACATGTAAATGTTTCCAAAACTAGCAGGGAGACAAACCAACAGAATCTATGAGTCATACTTACATGGATTCAACTCATCTACGCTACTCATTGAAAAAACAATTGAATTTACATTTAAATACTAGAATTTCTTGAGATACGGCGAATATTTAAAATAAATTAAAAAAATATAGAAATAAGAGACTCTATTATTTATCTTTGAAATTTATGTGTGTTTTTATATAAACTAAGGCGTGGTATATATAACACTTGAATTGTAAATATAAAGTATTAGTTACTATGCTAAATTGACAATATCTTGAGATAACATAGATTTACTATGCACAAGATATTTTAAATAGTAAATATAATAATTTCTTATTATTATAACACTCTTCCTTTTAAAATTTTTGTCTTGGTGCTCTGTTGAAGTCTTGTTGAGGATAGTTATGGGAACATCTGCTGCCTCGATTAAAAACTTTATTAAGAAAAATCCATTGAGATAAAAACCTTAATAAGGGAAAAAGAGTACAACATCATGCTCCCTGTGGTACCCTAAAATTTGTCCTCTCATTTTCAAAAGAATCTCTCATACTCCTAAGCTTATCAAATACTCAAAATTATTCAAGAATTGATCAAACAAATTCTCCTCTTAAGCAGTGGCCTATAATTAGGGTTTTGGTTTTCTCAGAGGAAATTGGACTTCTAATGCCTCAATTGGACTTCATGGTTTCTTATATGGATCAAGGTATCCTCATGTCAAATTTCAAGTCTTGCAGTACAAATTTGCTCAGTCAATTGCTCAGATGATTGGAAATAAACTATATTGGATAAAAAGTCAACTGTGGTCAACATGCAGTCAAACTTCAAGATTTTTGGTCAACATCAAGATTTTGAAGTCACATTCATCATTTGATCAAGGGTTGATAATGATTCATCAAGAAAACTCAAGATTTACCAAAAGTCAAAAATTACTAAATTAGAGTTTTCTTAAGGAGAAGTCAACTGAATTTTGACCAAGCATAACTTTCACATGCCTCATCATGTTTTTCTCAACCAAAGCTCATTTTAAAGGGAATTCAATTCTTTACAACTTTGTCTCTCTGAGTTCAAGTCCAAAAAATGCTTCATTTGAGAGATATGGACCAATACATTATATGTCATTTCAAAAGTCAACAAAAAGACACTTTTTGTCAAGGCAACTTACATCAAGATAAATCTTAAAATGAAAAAAATGATCAACATAGAGATTGTAGATGACATCTTGAGCTTTCCAAAAAGTAAAAGATCATCTTCATATGATAAAAATTGAGAGTTATGATTGGCGCGAGTTGGACAATTTTGAGAAAATGCATGAAACCCAAATTGATCAAACTTGAACTTTTGGGCTAGTGAGCTTATATTTCAAGGTCCAAACGTGTTATAGACCTCACAGTGAACCTTCAAATCTATTAATACACCCCTTTGATTTTTATTCCATTTATTTTAGTTTTATTTATTTAAATTCAAAATTAGATTAAATAAAAAATTAAAGTTTTCATACAAAGGTCCAAGCCCATTCTTCGTGACCTAAGTTTCCTCTATATATATTCCTCATTCGGAAAACAAAGAAGAACACGAAACCTTGCAAGAGATCACCTTCCAAAATCTCCAATTTTTTTCAAAACTAGGGCAAATTGAAACCCTTCTTTTCAGCCTTTCTCAAAGCAAGCCAGCCATCCCAATCAATTCCAGAAGTGTTATAAAGTAAGTATGGATCGATCTTGATGGTCCAAAGAGCCAAAAATCTCATACACGCATTTCCGGTTTCCTTGTTTTTTTTTTGTAAATTCATATTTTTGTTTTTATGTTGCTTTGATGCATACTAACATTGCCAACGTGTTTCTGAGGTGTATTAGTACATGATAGAACTGTTGCATGGCTCCCATAATGTCCGAATGAGAGGTTGCCATGATTGAAACGTTTTATGTTATGTTGTTCGTATCTCATCATACAGGAAGAATTAGCAAAAACCAAGGCCATCATTGAACTCGCAAGGGTGAAATTAAGGGGCAGGGGCCCTTTGGATCGTTAACATGCTTTATTTTGCAGGTACAAGAGCCGGAGAAGACGACCAAAGCTAAGGATCTGACGCCTCTCCGGCCCAGTCAATTTGGGTTTATTCTATATTTAATTGACTCCATTGAGATACTGGATAAAATAGCCACCTCAGTGGCAAGAGCATGCGCATTAAGACATTGGTACAAGAGGGCGTGGGTTCGAACCCTGCCTTTTGATGTTTTTTTTCTTCATATTTTCCAATATTTTGCATGTTTATTATATTTTGTGTAGCACGCAGTTTACAGACACCAGCACACGCCTGACACAGTGGAAAACTATGTAATAGAGAGGGCAAAGGGCGTGGGTTCAACACCCACCCCTAGCATTTATCTTATTTTTTGGTTTCTAACCCTTATTTCCTTGATTTTTCTTCCCCTATTTATTTTTTGGCTAATCCTAATTCTTTTTTATTCACCATTAACAAAACCTTTTCTTTAACTCTAATTATTTAGGTTTAGGTTTTTTAATTAACCATTTTTTAAAATTAATTCATTAACCATATTTTTATTTTAAAATTAATTAGATTTTAGGTTTTATTTAATTAATTATCATCAAAAATTATTTTCTTCATAAAAAATCACCAAAGAAATCTTTTTCACAATTTTCCTATTTTTATTTTTCTTTTTCTTATTCTTAGATCAAGTGTATAGGACGTCTCCTCGAATGTAATAACGTAGCTTTATGTGATACGGTGGGAAGAACTGACTGTTTTTGGAATGCTGGTTTGCGTTTTACGTTTATTTTTGCAAAATGTCGCGGTAAGCAAGAGTCGCCACCGTCTTTTATTTTATCCAACAAGGAAAGGAAAAAAGCACAAAAAATTCCTTTTTCGAGATATTTCTGAGTACGGGGGGTAGATTTATAGAAAGGGAAGGTATTCACACCCTTTCTATCCGTAGTTATCTACGGGCTCTTAGGTACTTGCTCATCATTTCCAAAGTTGTTTTCTTTGTGCTTGTGGGCTTTGAAAAGTTTTTTTGTTTAACTTCGATTTAACTCTTGCTTCTGTCTTTAAGAGTGTAATGAAGTGTTTTTGAAAACTTGTTTGTAAAAAGAGTGTAAGTGTGAAAAAAGTTTTGTTTTGGATGAGCAAGTATCTAAGAACTAATCTACCTACTCGAAAAAGGAATCGTTCTATGTTTGTTTCCTTTAGACAATGCTATCCCACTATTAATGAGTAGGTAGCACCGTCGTTGGAGTTTGAGGGTCAATTCGAAAGAGGGACATACGGTCACTAAAGCAGTGTTAGGATGCCTTAGTGGTAACCCTAATGTCTTAGATCATTTATCCGAGGCGACAATATCCGAGGCAACCATTCCGAGGCAACTATGATCTTTGGACAAAAGGACGACCACTAAAATATCCTATACTCAATGACCGTTTACGAAGGCAACCAAGTGGGGTGTAACCTAGGAGTGCGCATGTGCGATTGTGTTGATTTCAGTTATTTTTATCTTTGCACATGTTTAGGGTGATCTAACCGTTTTAAGATTAAACATTCATTCTTGTCATGCAAACCCTATTACCAAACATCTAGCAGTTGTATAATTTGCAGAATTAAAATGCGGAATTTAAACTAAATTATTACAAGGCGTCGGGTATTTACATCGCCAAAAGCAACCCTTTGAAAATAAAATAAAAGCGGTAAAAGTAAATGTCCTAATTAAATATTACAAACCGAGAGCAGATACAATAATTGAAAAAAGAAAAATAAATCGCGCGAGAAATTGGATCGAATGTGAAACTAGGGTTTTGACCCTCCTAATTAAAAAAATGTTTTGTTGTTTTTATTATTTTTAAAGAAAAGAAATTAAATCCTAAAATTAAATGCTAAATTAATTATTAAATAAATTAATTAATGAAAAATATTAAATGACATATTTTTGGAGTTTTTGTTATTTTAGGAAAGAAAATAAAATAATTAAATTAATGTTGAAACCTAATTATTTTAATTGATTTTTAATGTTTGCAAAACAAATTAAAGTTACCTAATTAATCTACCTAATTAAATTAATTAATATTTATTAATGAAAAATAAAGTT